CCGTTTGAATCGGCCGTAATTACAGCGTTGGCTAAGATATTGTAGTGGATGCAACCTGTTTTCCCCACATTTGATGGTCTCTTACCTTCGTCCGTCTCTCTTTTACTGCGTCCTGAAAGGAATGGGAAGCTGTTAGAAACTGCTGATGGCTGCCAGTGTAGTGGCGGTACCTGATTTTTTGCTGACTTGGAAAGACACGCTGGTCTCCACCTTGTCCACGTCGTGGTAAATTGGAGACGCCGGCACGGCAGCCGATCGCCTACTGAAGGTGGATTTTTTCTGCTTCTCAGTTGTGGTGGGTTCCGGTTCTGAGGCCGGTTCCGGTTCCGGTTCGCTCTATAGCAGAGAACTGAAATTTTCATCCCATACTAGAGGGTTCGAGGGACTTACCGCAGGCTCACTGGCGGGCTCCGGCACGCTTTTCGGTTCTGCCTCGGCTAAAAATCAGCCACATGAAACAACCCGAGCACTTTCCCGCAGAAGTGACTTACCAGAAGGCTCCGCCTGGCCCACGGGGCCAATTTGCGGGAAATTCTTGCAGCTCTTGGTCAGACCGCGCGGTCTCCAGCCCAAGGCCGCGTAGCTGGTTCCATTGACTACCAGAACCGCTTCCAGCTCCCGATGATCCTTCAGGATCCTCCAATATAGCATAAAAGTGTCGGACAGCTTTTTTTCGGTATAGAGTTCGAAGTCAATCTCGGTGGATTTTACCGGAGAGCCTGCAAAACAGTGCAATTTGATTGGTTGGCCGTCCACCGATGGCCTTTGGTTGCTTACGCTTGTTGCATCCGGGCCCGAACCATCCCAATTGACAGTAGCACTGTCTTCGAGGCGCGGTAGTTGCCTGCACGTCCACACACACTCCTTGGGCGCCACAGTCGCTGTTCTCCAGACATTCGTCGCGAAACTGACAGACTGAGCCGTAGTACAGTCGGTCGCATTTGCACTTGCCCAGCAAATAACGTCCATGTCCGCTGCAGGATTCGCGAAACTCTTTGCCTGCGTCAAAGTTTGACAGTTGGAGGTTAGGGGGACAATCAGCGGTCGTTAGACGACGGGAATTTTGACGTTACCAGCCCCAATTTACGAAAATCCCTACTTTAGCTCGTTGCGAACGGAACGAATGTAAATGATTGTATGCCTTATTGTCAATAGAAGATTAAGTAAAAAATGCAGGCAAAAAATGTCGAAAAGTCAGTGCTTTTAAAAAACTCTGATTTTTCGGCAATTTTTTTTAAATTCATCTCGGGACTTAGCATTGCGTCGATTGGAACCTAGCGGTTTGTTATGGTTTAAGACGATTTAAGGTTAGGTGATTTTTTCCCGGTATTTTGTTGCAACCGTAAACTCTTTGGATTTTATTAATATAGTGTTTCAGTTCCCGCCAAGTCAAATATGCATTTTCATTCGCTCCGTTCGCAAAGATTTTCGTTAATTGCAGCGCAACATCAACACCCGAAAATTGGAACGTAATTAGCTAAAACATTCTCAGTCTGGAACGCGGCGTGCATCGGTTCTCTCACTTGCACGCATGGCAGCCTATCGACGCAGCCGACTGCCTGCGTGTGCTACGTTCCAACTTGACGCCTTCGCCGCTTAAAATTTACCAGTTGTGGTGGCGACAAAGTCTCGAAAAATATGCTTATTTTGGACTAGCGAAAAGTGAAGAAATAGTTGACGGGCAAGTAAAATTTCGTTGAAACGTGAATAATTGACGCATTCCGCGCTTTTAGGTTTCCGTAAATAATCAACTTACGTATTTTGATGTCGACGTCGGCGCAGGACCAAAATTTATATTGGGCGCCCCATTCCAGCGCCTGCCTGATCAGTCTAAGGGTGCAATTGGCGCAGGTGAAGTTGGTGGGCAGCTGAACCTGGTAGGTTTGGGCCCTGAAAACGATGAAATTCGAAACGTTGCCTGCAAGAGAATGGCTCGGGCTTACGTGGCATCATTCGAGATGAACTCGGCGCCTTGGATGCGTGGGGTCAGGTCAAGCACCGGCCGCTCCAACTCGTCCAAAAGTTGAATTTTAAAACCGCCCTAAAAACACCCACGAAAATTGTGCTTTGCATTCTACTGTGGGGAAATCGGGTTTACCTTGTGCGGATAGCCCAAGTGCCAGGAGACGTTGAATTTGCTCCCCGACAGCAGCGAAGTTTTCACATTTCCTGGAATGGAACAAAGCGCGATAAAATCAAAGCCAATTTATAAAACAAAAATGTTGCTAAACAACCGTAATTGTTGCGGTTTTGCAAGCTAACGCGCTCGTGACTCAGCTCGAGCGGAGAGTTTTATTTCTTTCTCTCGGCCATAATCAACATTTGTTTTATTTGTTTAGCCGTCGGCTAAGATCTTTTTGGCCAGAGCCACGCCCCAAAAAGGGCTGTATAAATGCCATGATGGCGAGTTTGGATGTGGCCGCAGGCCCGCCACTAATTACGCAAATTAGCAGGCAACAGCGAGTTGCATAAGCCGCGCTGGAAAAGTGCAATATAACGGAAAATGATTATGGTAATAAGACCGATTACAGGCAGAAAGTAAAAGTTATGAAATGGGGTCTCTGACAAGGTGACTGGACTGGGCTGGGAAGGGAATCAATTAAAAGGTGGCCATTGGTCAAGATATTTCACACCGAAAATTGTCGCCGATCAAAACGAGCAGGATTCAGAATAGAAAACCCTGTAAGGCTGATTGTTAAATGTACATCAATCACACTTAAGGCAGCGGCGAGAAAAACGTGATGGCGCTTACGTAACGCACGAATTCCGCGAAGCCGAAGATCCTCGAGATGATGGAATCTGCCAGACACCTGTTGAACCGGCCGTGATCGAATCGTTTGTTTACAACCCATTGGATGCGGCCAACAAGAAAAAACTTCACATTTTGTCGCAAATGACCGAAAACAATGAATGTTTATTGACCAATAACCTTGATTAAACCATTATTAGCGAATTAACTAAAATAAGTAATGAATCACCTCAATGGATTCGAGTGGGTGCTGCGCTTTAGCGGTTAGAAACAGAAACAACTGAAGATGGCTGACGGAAGTTTCAAATTGTTTGACAAGTGACTTGACAGTCGTTAAACGCATAAGCCACGTAGGCATCAGGTGCCACAAACAAGTGCCTGATTAATCAATAAATAAATGAAATCGATTTGCATAAATATGCGCAGCTCCAACGGTACTGTCGAAGAAAACCGTACTAAAGCCTGCTAAAGCGTCCTTTCTAGTCCATTTGCCTTGAATGACCGGCCCGAAGACCACTCGGCTTGTTGACAATTTGCATTTAATTAAAAAATTGTTGCCATAACAGCAGCGTGTTTCTACGTGCACAAACAATTTAATGCAACACACACACACACACACTCGATCGTGTCTTATATAACATTTAGAAAATTGCCCATTAATAGTCACGAAACGTGTTTCAATTAAGTAGTGGAATGTGCAGAACGGGATTCGTGTAAACAAGCTCCTAATCGAATTCCAATGGGGCTAAGTCTGGATGAAGACGAGATAATTCCAGTGAAAAATGCACCATTCAGGGTTTTTCCATTCGATGCTCATCGAGGCCAGCCTTAAAACCCGAAAATCATCAATGGTTTCAACAGTGAAAAGCTGACTTTAACTTTTCTCTCTTGCTGTACGATGTAATTCACAATTGGCAAAAAGTAGTTTTTCAAACTTTGGCCTGGTCAAAACCAGTCCAATTTTTAGCCGTAAAGGTATCAAGTTCGAACGTAGCTACGCGCACCATTTTGCCGCGTCCATAGGCTCCTATGCGTGCGAGGGAGAAAACCGACGGGAGCTGCGTTCTGTAATGCAAACATCAGTTTCATGTTTGGTTTCTTTGTTGGTTGAAGAATTGCTGATTTTCGGGTAATTCGTTTCGGATGGGCCAAAACTTGTCCTGGGGGTGCCTAACAAAAAAAAACCTGCACAAGTTTACAAAGAGAAAGTGCGTTGAAACCTGAACTGACCAATCAGACACTAAACGGTTTTTACGGACTTTTATCCGCATGAAAGCGGCGCCATTTCCGGCTCGGCACGTGACGTTACAAAACCATTAAATCCGTACGTGCCGTAATGCTTTTTAGCTCAATTTCCGCGTAAAAGCGGCGGATTTCTTCAGCGTTAATTCGCTAATTGTCGTTCGGTAATTGTTGCAACGGGGATTCTCACTCGCGTGTCAATGAATTGTCAAAATGGCGCCCGGGGTATTTACCCTAATAGATAAATGTGCAGCGTTGCCGCGTCGCTTTCGGGGAATTTAACCCAGAAATCGGCAGCCGCAGGCCAGTAATAATAATATAATTATCGGCTGCCATACCTTTATTTGCCTGGCCTGGTATACGGCGTGTGATGACGCAATTTAGAAATTCCGCCGTAATATTTTCTCTTCGACGCAAACGGCTGAACGTGAGACAATTGCAACCACATCACATAGTCGATCAAACAAATGAGCGAAGATGATCGCCGTTTGTTTTCATCATCGTTATTAATGATTGCTTTGGCCATGGCCAAGCGAGGAAGTAAGGCGGTCGATCGGAAAAAATCTGATTAACTGGTTATCGTGCTTTTTTATGTGGAGAAACAGATTTTTAGACCATTATCTGGGCGGAGCTTGAAGCGTCCATCCTTGGACCAAATCGCTATTAAAGAACATCGGTACGATTCAACCCGGCCTGGTACATCCGGGCGGTGTGATAAGGACTGACTCGTTTCCACGGCGACCACTATAGCGCGCTCTCGTCCACGCACAGTCCAGCCCCGTGCCTTCAGCAGGGATTACAGGATTTCAGCTACGGGGGGTGGAGAACAATCTAGTTTCTGTTCGATTCAGTTCACCTAGTAAATCCTTGTGCCAATTCCATAAAAGTCCAATCTGGTCCCCATGGTAGGTCAACAGCGCAATTATCCTACGCCACAACCTTCTCATCTCCTTTCACGTGCCGAAACCCATCGGGTTTGCCTTAAACGGTGATTTACATGGAGCATTTGGTTACCTTTGGGCATCCCGCATGGGGCTTTTGTTCTGGAACTATCCAGAAAGTCCAGGTCGTACTTGCGAGCGGGCGGAAAAACCAGAGCGACATGGCCCTCACTGATCAGTGCACAGTAAAAAATCACGAAAAACCGCACAATCCACCTGCATCCAACGGAAGACGTTCGCGACATTGTTCGTTCGGTTCGTCTAGACGCGCTCAGGGTGGTTCTACTGCACCATAGTCGCGCGATGGCGTTTCTTCGGCACCAACAGTTTCTCAGATGGTTCGCGTTCGGGTACGACCTTTCGCGTAATACCTCTCTCGGATTTCTCTTGCGGAACACCTAGCAGCCGAAGGGGGGAAGTAGTAAGAGGTGCGCCGAGTACCATGCTCGCGGTACCATCTACTGGGGCTAGGAATGTGGACCTGTATACATTCCTAGATTATTAATGAAAATCTTTCGAATTCCATCGCGGTACTGGTTTTATGGGCAATCTTCGTGCTGCGGTTCCATATTAATCGCGCCACAGGTGGTTTTGACCCAAATTTGCCTTCATAACCCGGTGCGGTGGTTGCTAGTTGGCAAGTGACGCTTGGGGCTGTCATCCGTCTAATTGACGCAACTGGACTGGCCCCTTTGACGTTGTCTTGGACGCTGCTGTCAAAATTATTTTGACACTGTCACTGCGTCGGGTTCGTCTGTCAGTGTCACTGTCTCTAACCACTGATTTTTTGAGGCAAAATTTGACATTTTTTCCAAATCAAATGCGGTTTATTCAATGCTTCTGGAACTGGTTTAGGGTCATAAGGCCGATGCATTTTAAAGTTATCGAAGCGTTATGTGAAGTTGTTGCACGCTTGTGATATAAGGAGGATCGCCCTGTATATGTGTATGGGCATGAGGATCTGTGGATGAGAGTCGCGCCCCGATAATCAAGCGCACTTGGGCGAACTAAATGGCACTTTAAGCTGCATTCGGGCTGATTATATGGAAACGTTAGTTTTATTGCGGGCCTTCTAATCGCTGAGTGTAATTCAACGTCAGCGACCGTGCAGGAAGCGTACGGTTTTGGCAGTTCCGCCGTCACGCCCGTAATTTCGAAAGGAGTGCTCGCGTATATCGGCACTTTTAATGGGCAAAAACGAGTGAAAACCGATGTTGTTTTGATTGTTTGTCGACTTTAGCCTCTCGGCTAAAGTTTCTGGGTTTTCATCCAAGGGCGAATCCAGGGGGGGGGGCATGGGCGTCATGACCCCCCCATTCAATTCTCTATCCAACGAAGCCAAAACGAATTCTGTGGCTCAAATGGTTCTTGAGAAACCTTGAAAAAAGCAG